CAAAGACCAGTCACCAAAGACGGAGGAAGAACGTGCACACATGGTGAAGGTGCCGTATGCCTCAGCAATTGGAAGTCTGATGTATGCCATGGTTTGTACCAGACCAGATATTGCTCATGCAGTGGGAGCTGTTAGCAGGTACATGAATAATCCGGGCAAGGTACACTGGGAAGCAGTCAAATGGATCCTCAGATATCTTCGGGGTACCACAAACAAAGCACTTTATTTCAAAGGTGGAGATATGATACTGACAGGCTATGTAGATGCTGACTTAGCCGGAAATGTCGACATCAGAAGGAGCACTACAGGGTATGTCTATACTCTAGGAGGAACTGCAGTGAGTTGGGTTTCTCAACTACAGAAGATAGTTGCTCTCTCCACAACTGAAGCAGAATATGTCGCTGTTACGGAAGCCAGCAAGGAGATGGTTTGGCTCCAAAGTTTCTTAGAAGAGTTAGGCAAGAAACAAGAAAACAATATCTTTTATTGCGACAGTCAAAGTGCTATCCATCTAGAAAAGAATCCGTCTTTTCATTCCAGGACAAAGCACATACAATTGAGATATCATTTTATCCAGTCTCTTCTGGAAGATGGGATTTTGAAACTTGAAAAGATTAGTGGAGCTCAAAATCCGGCAGACATGTTGACAAAGACGGTGACTACGGACAAACTGAAGTTGTGTTCAGCTTCAGTTGGCATGCTAGAATAACAAGACCATATATGCTGCTGCATTGATCGAGGTGTGAAGACATATTAAAATCAGTCTTCAAGTGGGAGATCGTTAAAAGTTTCAAAGTTTGACAACCAACTTTGGAAAATGTTTTTTCAAAGTTTGACAACCAACTTTGGAAAATGTTTTTTCAAAGTTTGGTAAATGTTTCTTTGAAAAATGTTTTTCAAAGTTTGGTAAAATTTTGGTAGATGTTTGTTGAAAATAGGAATGGGTAAATTTACTTTAGTCATTGCACTTTAGGGTATTTTCAAAGATTAGTCCCTAAGTTTCTACTATAAATACCCTTACCCATTTAGCTTCAAAATGATCCCAAAACATTTCTTTCTTCCTATACTAGAGAGCTTTCTTGTGAGTAGTGAGTGTTTTGTAAATACCTGTAAATTTTCTCTCTTAGTAAAAGATCTGCAGCAGCCCGGAGACGTAAGCACAATTGGCTGAACTCCGTTATCAATTTTCGGGTATTATTTTTCCGCTTTTATTTCGCATTCTCACTAATCTGGTTATAGGGAAATTACTTGTATTAGGTTTATTTTCCTAACACAAAGAAACCAGAAATGAGCTTGAATATGAAAGAAAAGTATTGTTCCAGTCTTATTGCAAACAATATTAATTGAAGTTCTATTTGGATGCCGCTTTTGCTATTTTTCTTTTCATTTTATTTTTTGCCTTGGAATTTTTAGCATTTATTCGAAATAGCTAAAGCATTAAACAAATGAAGCTTGAGAAAATGAAGAATTAGGCATGTATCCCTCAGGAAAAAGTTTGTATTTTACTAAAATGAAAAGCATCATGTAGCAAAAAATGTCTTTCTGTTGGAATGCAAGTGGGACATTGTTTTTTCATATGGAATGGAAGCAGGGTACTTCGGGTTTTCCTTCTCTGAAGTGAGGATCTTTTCTGGCCTCTCGAGGATTATTAGGAATCTATTGTGTGAAATATTCAGCCTACAATCAATTTATGATTTGAACTGATACCGCTGGATTCTGCTTTTAGCTTTTTGGTAAAGACTTGTAGATAACAATTTTTGTCAAATTTGCAATAGCAAATCTTTGAAGGACATTGCATATTGTATTGATTGGGGGGTTGAAAATGACTTGCACAACACAAATGGTTGAATGGACGTGGGGGCTCCAGAATTAGAGTTTGGTGCAGAGTTGAAATTCCAGTTAAGCTTGCACTAACAATAGGATGTAACATTATTGTAAGATACCAGTTTTTCTTAATACTTTGTGCAAGAAATCTGGTACTCTGTATTATACTGTTAGTGGGGCTATTGTACACCGGTCATCACTTAGTGAAATGTTTTGCTTCGTGACCTGGGCATTTTTTTTTCTTTTAAACCTTCAGCTGCAAACTTCTATGAGATTCTTCTAGGATGTTATTTGTTTCCTCGGCGACTTGGGGACAGCACCTTTTGGCTTCAAGATTAACTTTGCTTGCAGAGCTTGCAGATCATGGACATTCTGGTGCTAGACAAACCTTTGTTTTTGTATGCTTTTTGATGGTTCTACTAACTTTTAAGGTGTGCAATTCCCAACTTAGATTTATTTTTCCTTTGAAGTTAGATTTTCAAGGTTACAATTATTACAATATCTAGTCACCTCTTGATATCTTGATGCTGGTCAATGTTGCTTTCAATACTAGTGATTTGACTTTGTTCCTCAGGCTTCAAGCATGGATAAATTAACCTGTTTTTCTGTTGCAGATATTCGGATAGTTGAAGATGAGGTTGACTTGGCTCCAAAAGCAAAAGGTATGATAAGAGGAAAAGCCAAGTGGGACACAGAAATATTCTCATGCTCTTACTATATATATACAGTACATATGCATGATGGAATTATTCTTCCTGGACAAACCCATCAAACCGCAGGAGACCCTTCAATCTCTTGATTAGCCACCACCCTGAGGCCAGTGATAAGAAATACCTGGTGACCTCCCACTTGCAGAGCCACTAAAACATTGGAGGCAATTTCCAGTGGAGATCAGTGGGCAACTCTCTTGTCCAAATCCTTATGGGCCCTGATGATTAGTAGACACTTCATCTGAGTAGTCACTCTCTTGTCACGATCCATCTGCCTGTGTTAACATCCCTTGGCTAAGCTGGAATGTCTTTGAAACATGTGCATTCTAGCTAGAATCCTGTAGCCATTATTCCATGAACATTGATGTGTGGTCCAAGCTTCATTTAAGCACTTCGGACATGAAAATCTCTGTCTAAGCCATTCATTCAAGGGTTGCTTATTGAATTTTATCACTAGACTGCTCCCATATCAAACTCAGTTTACAATTAGTGAGTTTACTGAACTGTCGAGACTAAATGGTTTTAATCGTAACTTGGAAATATACTTTTCTATCAGCTTCCTCTGAGCTATCTGTATGATTGCTTGATTAATAACATCCATTAGATGTTTAGATTCGATGGTTAAGCATGAGTTGCCTAATGCATAGGTGCTAGGCCTTTTGAATGTTACTGATCAAATAAAATTCTGTTCATAAGAGCCATATATTTTGTCTAGCTGGTGGATTCAGGATCTCTTGAAAATGAGCCGTGGCTGTAAATTTTAGTGTCGAAAAAAGGTAGAGGTGAACTTAGTAGACTGGTTGCATGGAGTTCAAGGTCAATAAAGTGCATTCCCTGTCAGACATGGTATTTAATTGCATGGTACTGGCAACAGTTATGAGAAAGTGGCTTATTTTGGTGTTCTTCTTCAAGAGAAATTACACATTCCGATTAGAATTTTCTTAAACATTTCCATTATTTCATTATATGCATGGTAGTTGAAAGATTTCAAATATTTAAAATAGCAGGAACAATGTACCAAATCATGCATGAGAAGAAGATGAAAATGGTTTGTATTTGTAAAGCTTTTCAGATTCTGAAATCTGCAACATACATGCTTAGATTATACTATTTCTACCATTAAAGTCAAAAGAGTGAGCCATCCACTGAACTAAACATCCCCTGCCCACCACTACCATCACCCCCCCCTAAATTGAACAACTGAATCCCAACAGTGCCCTAAATAGATTCCAGAACCACTTACTTTTCCCCCATTTGGCCATTTCCCTTGCATCACCTGCCCATCCCCCCTGTTCCTGCATTGATTTTTATCCCCTACTTTAACAAAAATTAAATTTTGATTTTTAATAATAATATTTTTGACATTTCCAAGTGGGGGAGGAGGTCAACAAAAATAATATCTTGGATGTCACGTCTTCAGATCTTATCCTTGTTGATTTCTCATCTGGAAGTTCATATCCTGTTACATTCACAGCACCAAATTAAATGTGTATTAAATTTTCCATTTTTATTTTCTCTAGAATATGTACCCAACTATTATGACCAAGTTAGAATGATCCAAAATCTTTTGGATTCTATCAAATCTTTACAGGAATGGAAAAAGAAGCGACATTTTCACCTGTTTTTTTATTATTTATATTTTTAAGATTTGGAAATATATATTTTGAAATTACGAATAAAAATAAGTGGCCGTGACTACGTTTGTGGAATTGATTTGATTCAACTTTTTAAAAATCAAATCCATGGAATAGACGCTTTGACCAATCATCTATTGGTGTTATTATATAAAAAAACTCCAAAAATTATTTTTCTGAGAAATACCCTCAAACTATATTTATTAGTAAAATACATTAAACTGCCTAAGATGATGAACTAACATTCTGGTTGAATCTCGTGTTCTAAAAAAAACGAGTTTTATACATTTATTATTATATTTATATAAAATTAAATGATTTTATTTGTAAAAATTGACGAGTTTTTTCGTCGTTTTATATGACACGAGGCAATTTTACATGGTTAGAGATATTTTTTAACAAATATTGGAGGTATACTATAAAACAAAATTGGGATTTTTTTATATAATAATGCCTCATCTATTTGGGGAGCATTCTTAATTATTGAAATTCACCATCAATTTGAACACGCAAAACAGTGTTTGACTTGGAATTTAATTTAAGTAACAACCTGGACTCATCATTCCTACTAGGAATTGAATTCTACAGCTCAATTATTCTATTTCTTGCTATCCAGACAATTTTTATAAGCTACATTTTTAATGGCTTTAATACAAAAAAAAAAGGGGGCTTAAAATACTTTGGTCATGCTTTAATTCAAGTAGTAGATTAAATGCTAATCTTTTTTTTTATAAGAAAAGGAAAGCACATGAATACTTGGTCATACATAAATGCAATTAGGCCACGTGCCAAATGGCAAACTCAACTTCCGAATTAATTATGAATCGCAAACAAACAAACAACAGGCAGAATCCCAATACTTTCTATTTTAATTAGTTTTTTTATCATTGGATTAGGATGATGAAACATCAGGATGCATGAATCTTACCATGTGGTTTGAAGGGTACGACTGAGAGTTATAAAACTGGTGGGTGGATGGACCCTGCTGGCTCGACACCGACGAGCTGTTTCCCGGCGTCGATGGCTCCAACTCATCGAGCTGGCACTCTAGGTCTACCCCGAACAGCCGCACCAGCCTCCTCGGGTTCCCAGCTGCTACACCTTCGTTTTCAGCAAAGTTTTCTGAAAATACGCAAAGGAAGGGCTATTCACATTGCTAAATTTCACATATTCTGCCCTACATAAGTGTGCATGTACCTGCATGAAGGCAGTCTGGTCGGTATGGCAGATCAGCATCATGGCCTTGAATGTGGCTAAGATAAGGATGTCCTTGATACGATCCCCTACTGCTACACCACCCTTCATCGCCACCGCCTCCAGAGCCAGTCACAGTGTTTCCGCCATCAGTCGAGGCTGCACTGCGCCTCCTACAACCTATAAAGAACCTATCGCCATCCGATCGGTGTCTTTGGAACAAAATAATGTCACCGGCGTCAAGCTGCTTCTCTTTAACGTATCGGCTCCACCCTTTGGTCAACACGTAGCTTTGGCTGCTGTTCCAATACGAGTAACGGAAACGCCAACACTTTCCCAACTCGTCCTCGAAGCTCAGCTGCAACCCTTTGTCGCTGGACTCACCGCCGAGAGGGAAGTACTTCTCCGCATGCTGTTTGGGTATGACGAGCCTGTTGAGCTTTCCCACATCGCTCGGGGTCAAGGGCTTCTCGAACATGGTTTCCGTTTCATGGCTTTGGTCCTCGAGCCCTTGTTCTTCATGCTGGTTAAAGTTGGAGGAGGAGTGAGCGTGGTTCGAAGAGAAGAACATGGATTGTTTCAAGAGTTTTTTAGCCAAAGATCTGTGAGGCGGGAGAACAAGAAGCGCAAGGCGAGGGCTTTTGAAGAGGAAATAGTGTTGAGGGAGGAGGGGGAGATTGTAGGGCCTAATGAAAAGACATATATGATATATTTTCTTGTTGTTTGAGAGGGAAGAAGATAGAGGAGTGGGCACAAATGAGTATGGGGTTTGATGTAGAAACTATTTGATGCAGACCATCGGAGAATATAACAAACAAATACCACTTTTTTTTAATAAATTATTACTTTTTTAAGGGGAAAAGTTGGGGTAAGGGGGAGTTGTAACTTTACGAGAGTACATTTTAAGGTTTTCGCCGGGGGGGGGGGGGAGCTTTTTAAAAAAGATTAGTATGTTTTTTATATAACAAAGATATAAAGCGAGGAATTCGAACTTATTTACTGATTTGAGTAATAAAATAAAATGATATTTTTCTTACAAAATTTTAAATTTGAATAATTATATTTAGAAAATTCGTATTATCAATAATTAAAAAAATTTCTAAATAACTAATCTGAACTTGAAAAATATTGATTCTTAATGGTAAACATTGTTGTTGGGAGTAGAGCAGTTTGAGTTTGAGTTTCCTTGCACGTAGCTTACCTGCAGCAAAACTTAACGTTTCTAATCCCATGACAGAGACATAAAACATTGTATATTACTGGTAAGCAGCGCTGAATTCGACAAAACATGTATGGTATGGGGAAGAAATCTTGAGTAAATAAAACAGAGTGAATACTACTACTGCTACCAGTACTACTAATGAATTGTGTGCCTCATGTTGGTGTTGCATTGGCAAGCAAATCAGAATGGTAGGGCCATTAATGCTGACGCAGTATGGAGGGCATCCCACGGCAGCAGACCAGCTATTTAGTAAACCAGGCCAGGGTTGATCTTTTACCCCCCATCTCGCTCTCTCCTGCAGAAAAAGAAAGGGATTTTGTATCATTTCAAACAGTGAAAAATCTCATACTTCATTGTAAAAGTGTAAAACCTGACACAGATGGCCATGCTTGTTAGGTTTGTGTTCAGTAGGGTAAAAGTCAGTGAAAGGAAGTTTTTTTTTTTTAAATACTAAAGTAGTGGTGGTAAAGGATTAAGGAGAATCTGCGTGTCGTGTTTTCACGCCTATCCTCCCGTTTCATTTCCTCCCATCATGGGTTCCTTTTTTCTCACTCAAATTTCCAGGTAGATTCAGACACCCTCTCTTCCCCATCCCCAAAAAGGGCTGGACTGCTTGTTTTAACTTAAATACATGTTGTTTTCTTGTACTACGTTACAGAAAGTGTTTGATTTATTTGAATCAATCCGATCAAGTTTATGAAAATCAACTCTAATTTTTAACATCAAATTAAATAAAAGACTTTAACTTTCTTTTTTTCAGTCGAGTCCTATATAATATATTTTCTAATACTACATGTATCGTCCAAACATATCTTTATAAAGGAAAGCTTTTGTCTAAATTTCAATGTTGTTTTGTAATTGAAAAGCCCCCAGAATCTGTACAAAAAACCTTTTTGTACAAAAAAACCTTGTCAAAGAAGTTGGTTTGGCAACAACAGGATATTCATTGATTTATAAAGGAGCTTAAACCAGGTTTTTGAAGGAATCTGCATCCTAATTCATTAACTCTCACATGCCATGGAACCAAGACTTTTGGACTAGAGTAAAGGGTCAATCAATATTTGTAATAAAAACAAGGGTAGACTACTCAGTTGATCACATAACTCTTAAATTGTTTCAATCAATCTACTAGCAGTTAACAGTGACAGAAATGATGATGTGGCCATTAAAACCCACTACTCATTTGACCACTTAACTATTTAATTGTTTCAATCAAACCACATAACTATAATTATGCCAATTCCTTTTAACTACCACATCATCATTTCCGTCAACAGATAACGACTAGTGACTTGATTGAAACAATTAAATGGTTAAGTGGTGGCACGAACCAACTTACCAAGCTGATTAGTATTATTTTTATTTCATCGCAAATGATGATGACTCAATGAAAGATGTGTCGACAAATATACAATGTCTGTGTGATTCATAAATAATTTCTTGATTCAAATAATCAAGATTTAATATATTGATTCTTATGGATTGAATTTGACTTAAGTTAACATCAATATTGACATAATGCATAAAAAAATATGATTGAAATTAAGTAAATATTTATATATCTAATTTTTGATATATTTTTACTAACTATTTTTAGGTAAATTATGTACAAGTACTACTATTAGTCAGATAATTTAATTATTTTAACGAGGAAAAACATATGTTCCCTCTATCCCATTAAATTTGTCCTTTCCATGTTTTAAAATTATCTCATTGAAAAAATCAACAGCTTATTGTTAATAGGGGATGATATTTTGTGGAAAGAGATGGAAAGACTTAATGGATTAGTTTACTTCTTTTAATTTGAATGAAGGGTCACCGATTGATATAGATCATATACAAAAACTTTCGACGCAAGCTTGAATGAGGGAAAGAGAATGAACTTTGAAGAAAAGGAAAAGGAGAACTCTCGTTTAATTAGAAGAGGTGAATATTTATTTTCTCTTATATATGTTGTTGTATGCGATATGATAATGTTAAAGAAAAATAATCTTCTTTTGTCGCACTTCGTATAAATTATGATGACCTAACATTTTAATCATCTTTATTGCCTCGTAGAAGAGGAGCCTCTCTCGAAGAGGAGAAGAGATACAATAATTGTCCCCCTTAATATATGAGCATGCCAATGTATCTAGAACATAAATGACATTTTTTACAGTGAATTCTCGACCCGCTTTAAATAGGGTGAACTGTCAACTCTCAATCCAACAACAGCCATGAACCATCACCTCTTATGTTGACCACCAACAGAAGGTTTTTACGACCACAATTTGATAAGCATCACTTGACAGATACAATACAGCGTGATTAAAAGGTCTATGCCGCGGCCTGAACATTGTTGAAGTATTTTTTTTTTCAAACTTGAATGGGGACCATACTTTCAAATATGTTGGTTGACACGGACCGACCAGAAGGGGTAGATCTAGCGGCATTAAAAATATAGTTGAAATGAAGACTAATCTACAAAGCCGATAACTTGGACTATGTAGGAGGTCTACATTGGCAGCACCTCAACTTTATTCATTTATTTTGTTTTGTTTACACTTTAAACCATCATGGATTATATGCCACACATCGAGTTCCGAGGAGGTTTGAGGTTAAAAACAAAACCATTAACGTGTTGGGTTTTCAATGAGAATAGCAGGCCAGGCAGTTCATGCCTGAGAAATCGGATAGGGAAGCTTACTACTGAGTCTGTCGATCACGCTCTGCTGCAGCGCTAGATCTTACCAATTGAAAAAATTCATATTGGAATTCTAATATAAATAATCTTAATCTTTATTTAAATAATTTACGGAAATCTACGGGTAATTCTCGTAGTACGTGGTTCAGACTAATCTGACGAACGGACAACTCCGGACCTAACTAATCCTCGCTCAGGTGAAACATGAGTACTTTCATAAAATATCTTATTGGATTAATTTCCTAACCATATCTCAAATAAATAATCAAAAATGCTAAAAAACTAAGCATTTTTGGGTTAACAAGCTCGATTCGGGGATTTCGGATCAGAATTTGACAAAACAGACTTCGGAATCAGATTCAGAACGTCAAAAAACATAAAATATTACCTTTAAAAAATTAACTTTTTGGTCAAAGTCAAAGTCAATGGGTTGGACAGATGATTTGGAGGCTTTCGGGTTCGAACTTGGCGAAACGGACCCTAAAAACGAATTCGGTACGTTGTCAGAATAAATATACCCAAAAAAAGTCAACGACCGTTTAATGGCCGGTCAACGCCAGTCAAAGTTTCAGTCAACGGTTGTCAACGACGGTCAGCGGTCAACGGGTCGAGTCAACAGGTCGGGTCAACGGGTCAAACCGGTTTTAATGCTTCAAATCGATTTTGAACCTCCCCCACGCGCAGTGGTGGTGCGTGGGACCTCTTCTGGCATCGGAAAAATTACAGAAAAATTTCCAAAAATTATTTTAAGAGATTTTGAGGCACTTACAAAGCTCGATTCACAATTTTGAACAGTGGAGAGCTTGATTTTAACACGTCCGAAAATTTGACTGCTTCACCTCCCTCATTCGCCGGCGATGACGAAAACAAGGACATCGGCGGACTCGGAACGACACAAGGAACACGATGGTGCGGAAGGTGTCGAAAACGGAGCAACAATCGGAGATGAATTGGAGGTTTTCTCTGCGGTGGTGCTAAAAAAGTCGAAACTTTGAATCAAAATTCACGGTGTTTGACAGCGTTTCACTTCAATTATTTTACAAGGTTTGTTCATCGGTCGATGACGAACACGATGGTGGTTTCAAATCGATGATCGGTGGTCGGACGGCGTCGAAATCGGATTTGGAAGTTAGGCGTTGGAGGAGGAAATTTGGTTATTTTGCTTGATAAAATACCCCCGAAATCCAATTCATAACCATTTAATAGATAGTCTGCCAACACATTTTGGGTAAATTCATGGCTTAGTCTATGAATTTTTCTCACTTCTAAAATGCCCTACAAGTTTTGAAAACTTTTAATTTAATCCCCAAATTTCACCAATTTACACAATTATAAAAATGTTTTTTTCATTTTTCCGGGTTGTTACAATTCTCCCCCTCTACAAGAAATTTCGTCCTCGAACGAAATTTACCTTATGAAAATAAATGAGGAAACTGAGCCTTTATTGATTCTAATGTCTCCCAAGTAGCTTCTGAGGGGCCACAGTTACTCCATTGAACTTTGACCATTGGAATACGCCTATTCCAAAGAACTCGCTCACCCCTTTCTAAAATCTGAACGGGATCATCCTCATATGACAAATCAGGTCTCAACTCTACCTCATCAACCTGAATGATGTGATCTGGATGGTATCGCCTCAACATAGATACATGAAAAACATTATGAATACGATTGAGCTGGGGAGGCAACTCAAGTTGATAAGCAACGGCTTCGACTTTCTTCAGAATATGATACGACCCAATAAATCTCGAACTCAATTTACCCTTACGTCCAAATCTCAATACTTTCTTCCATGGTGATACCTTGAGAAAAACCTGATCCCCAACCTCAAACTTGATATCCTTACTTCGCTTATCTGCTTATGATTTCTGCCTAT